AAGTCTGTTTATAAAATTTTTTATTAAATACATAGAATTAAGAATTAATTTTAATGCTTTAAAAAATTCCATTTTTAGAATGTCAGTATTCCTCTCTAATAAGGCTCTACTACCTACTTGAGATACTTTCTAAACTAAGTCGGTACATTATTAAATAGCGAGATTACGTCCAAAGATAAAAGTACAATATTGTCAAATATCAATCAATTTAGAAATATTTTTAGTCAAATGATAACTATTATAGCGCTTTCAGCGGTAAATTTTTATGAATAATTTTATGTTTAGTTTAAAAACGAAGCCAAATTGTGAATGAGGCTGCCAATCGATGAAGCAATGATATGTAATGGATAATCCGTCTTATGCATTTTCATTAGACCATATTATATTTTAACTAAATTTATACGCACGAAACTCTACGTATATAAACGTTTCCGATGAGATTAATAAAATGGATAAATAATTAATGTGCGTGTAATAAATCAAGATAAGAATTTAATTAAAAGGCTTTGCACGTGTTTTCATGTTAATTCTAATACTTTATGCTAAATTAACGATTATGAATCAATAATAAAAACGTCAATTAGACATTAATACGTTTTAAACACAGCGTTTTAATGTAAAGATTTAAAATTGTGTTATAATTAGAATAAAGTAATTGAATGCAGAAAAAACCAAACGTTACCGACAGATTATCTTGAAAGAGCAATATTAAATATTTATAACTTGACTTTTTCGCATTTGATTATTTCCTTCCAATTATCGATACACTCTTCACATTAAAATGCAGTATTTAACGTGATAATTTCTATAATCTGACGTTTCTATTATTAATTTATAAATTATTAATAACATGAAAGAAACGAAAGAATCCACTGTTTCGAATAATATTAAATGTTCATAATGTTTAGAGTTTTTCCGCGATTAAAGTCATTATGTTGCAAAATTAGTATAACACATATTTATCTGTAATTTAATTATAGATATCAAATACAGAAATGAGCGTGAGCGTGGAATCCCAAACAACACGAAGTCGACTAAAAGTCGACTATAAGTTGACTAAATGTCAACTAATAGTCGACTAATATTTGACGAATGTCTCAAAAAAAGTCGACTAAACGTCGACTTACGGCTTAGAATGTCAACTTACTCTACGTTCAACTGGGAACAGTCGACTTTAAGTTAACAGACGACTATAAGCCGACAAACAGTCACTCGTGTTGTTTGGGATGGCAGACAGCGCACTGGTCTATCATGTCAGAGATCCCGGATTCGATCCCAGTACTTATTCCAGTAAGAACCAAAATTTTTACGCCCGTGTCTCCTCTCGGAAAAGGCCGGCAATCTTCCGAGAGTATCCTTGCCCACAGAAACACTTCTCGAAAAATCCGCCGTTCCGGCATTAAACTGTAGATCCCATATGCTTGTGATAATTGAATAATCAGCGTGACAATTGAATAATCAGCGCATCACAAGCATATGAGAGAGGTGTGACACAGGCCAGAGGCCTAATGAAAGATGTAAGAAAAAGAAGAAATACAGATTTAATTTGTATTAAAGATACAAATAATGAAAATACAATAGTTAAAAATTAAAAAAAAAAGATATCATAAATTGCCTTTATTTATAAATAATTGCAACATACACTCTATAAAATATTAAAATAATTTAATATAATTTATTCATTTTTAAATCGCATCATTTTTTAGAATACAAACATATCTATGTAACTTTATATATAAACCATCATTACGTACTAAATGCGCGTGCTTTGCTTATAAAATAAAAATTTCATTTTCAATATACTATACTAAATTATTATATGTATAACAATATAAAAAATTGGCATGATAAATGTCTTCTATTGTTTTAAGAAAATTTTATTTCTATGAAATTATATATATTTAATCCTTTTTGATCCTTTAAATAAAACAGTAATTTAAAAATAATTGAATTTCGACTAATTTTTTTATATTACTTTAAATTTCAATTTGTTTTTGCAAAAATTAAAGAATGCTTTCCAACTTTTTAATACATTTTGATACGTATACAGGAATGTATAATGTGTAGCGTTGTGCACGACTTAACTGGAATCAAATGCGTACATTGCACACGATTTCGCACGCGCGGATACAGTTTTATTTTTTAATAGTGTTACGTCCTTGCCATGCCGATTCCGTGGATCGCCGCTCATAAAGTTCCGAAGGTCGCGTTGCGACAACGAGCCACTCAATTGATTAACAAGATCTGCAGACTTTGCGGTGGAGCTGTCGACGCGCTCAAATGTGCTTTCTGCCTAGTTATCTAATTTCCGTTCGTTGTGTCTCTGTGTTTGCTGTTACTTATGTAAATAAAGAGTTCCTTTCTTATTTCATACTTGTCTCTATTCATTTCCGCGGCTCGGGAGTGTCGCGGTGACAGCGAGTTCATTGGTGATTCCTTTCTCGTTCACGATCTTTCACGACACGGCGATGATGAGGAAACTCTACCTATTGATCGCAGGATTATTCCTGCTGGCAGGATTCGTCTGGGCCGAAGATGAGATCGAAGAAAACACCGATACCGTGGAGAACGATCTTGGAACTAACCGTGAAGCATCGCGGACAGATCATGAAGTACAAAGAGAAGAGCAAGAAATAAAGATCGATGGTTTAAATACTGCTCAAGTAAAGGAATTAAGAGATAAGACTGAATAAAAGCAGATAGGGAGAACAAAGTATTACACATAATGGATTCTGGTATCGGTATGACGAAGCAAGATCTAGTAAATAATCTTGGAACTATCAAAATCTGGCACAGCAGAGTTTCTGGGAAAAATGCAGTCACTAACGCTCAGGATATGAACGATATAATCGGTCAGTTTGGCGTAGGCTTTTATTTCGCATATTTCCTGCGAATGTCATCGTTGTCACCAGCAAGCATAACGATGATAAACAGTATATTTGGGAATCTGATAGCTCCAATTTCAGCATTGTTAAAGATTCTCAAGAAGATACCTTGAAGAGAGGAACTGTAAGCTTACATTTGAAAGAAGAAGCACTTCTTAGAACCAGATACGATAAAGACCTTAGTGAAGAAACATTCGTTCATCAATTTCCCTATATACATATTTGTGGAATAGCAAAGTTATGCAAGTCGACGCGAAAGAAATGGAAGAAAATAAGACACAGAAACACAGAGACCGCAAAGTTTGCAGATCTTGTTAAGCAGCTGAGCGACTCATTGCTGGGCAACGCGACTTTCGGAACTTCGTGAGCGACGATCCACGGAATCGGCATGGCAAGGGGCATAACAATATCATGCCTACATCTTACTTAGTATTTTTTAATCCGTAATAGTGATGGAAACAATGTTTCCATCTCTCCCGCATTTTTTCTTTTATTTATATAAAGTCGCAGTTACCTAAGCAGAATAATAAGTCATTATGATATCGAAATGATGTCAAAATGACTCCAAAATGATCATTAAGTCATTTTTCAATAATTCCCGATTCATTTTAATGTCACTTTGACGTTATCGTGACTTGTTGTTCTGCTTGGATAGTAACTATTCAAGCACTAGAAAATACACAGCCAACGGACTGAGTATGAATGTGTAGTGTTGTGATGATGATTACAGCAATTGGAACGCAATTTGTGCCACTGTATGCATAAAAGGGATATTGCAATTGAAAAGCATTCAAAGTAAATAAATAGAAATAAAACATAGGTGGGATGAATCCAACAACTTCAAATCAGTTTCAATTTTCAATAAAATCTCCTGATAAATATTCTCTGCAAAATATTAAGTAACATTAATCCAATTATTTAAATAACAAATTCACCACTCAATATACATCACGATTATTATATGTATATAAAAAAATAAAACAATTTGTCAAGATTTAATTTCATCATTTTTAGTATCTAATTTTTTTAAATTTTATTTAGAAAAATTAGATACTGAAAAATTGTTTTATTTTTTTGATATATGACAATTGCGATATATATTGAGTGGTTCTTTTTCTTATATTAAGCCTCTGGTCTGTGTTACACCTCTCTCATATACTTGTGGTGCATACGCTGATTATTCAATTGTCATAAACATATAGGACCTATGATTTTTAATGTCGGTTCCGAACGGCGGATTTTTCGAGAGGTGTTTCTGTGAGCAAGGATACTCTCGGGAGATTATCGGCCTTTTCCGAGAGGAGACACGAGCGAAAATATTTTAATTCCTATTGGGATCGAACCGCTCCTATTCTTGAAAAGTATACGAAAAACTAGGGGAATACTATATATATATAGTATGCGTTACATATACTAAGCATTTCCTTTTTTCGCATGTGTGTGATACTTTTCAACAATAGAGACTCAGGGACCTCTAGCATGATAAATCAGTGCGCTGTCTGCCATGCCACACTCGCTCATTTGTTGTTCGAACTGCGCGAATTTGTTAAATGGATGAATGTTACTTAAAATTTTGCAGATAATATTTATCAGATTTTATTGAAAATTGAAACTGATTTGAAGTTATTGGATTCAATTCCACCTATGTTTTATTTACTTTATATTTTTAAGGAAAGAATTTTCAGAAACAATTTTACAAAGTAAAATTGTGTGTGTGTGTGCATGAGAAATCAGTGCTACGTTTTATATAAATAAAAATAGTTTTTTTTTTAATAATATAAAAAATAAAATAACTTCACTAAAAACAAAAAATCAAAGAACTGTTCTACACAAAAAAATATCTTATTAAAATTATTTCTAAAATAAATTTATGTTAGCAGCAAATAAAAATAAATTAATCGTTTTTTTTTAAAGATCTATCAATTGCATAATCATTTCTCATGTTTCTCGCAATAGAGATTTCACGAAAAAAAACTTTAAAAAATGCATAACAAAACATTAGAATATAAAGCAGTTTTAGTTTTAATAAGTCATGCTATAAAAAATTAAAGATGCTGATTAGTACGCTAGATAAGCTATGAAATGCGGGAAATCAATTTCTCTTTTTTGGGCTTACAGTAGCCTGGGAGACTCTGGTAGCATACGTTTGCCGTTGTCTCTTCCACGATGATAGTGGTATCTCCAGAATTACCGCTGATCAAGTACGCCCCGCCATCACTGCTAATCACAGCCTCTGATCGAACAACCCAACATACCGATGTTTTGTTCAGTTTTCCTTGATTTATTTGTTGCTTGATTTAGTAATGTCTATCTCTTTTTTGTTATAAGAAGCATTGTCTGTAGTTCGACATGCTCTCGCAGGAAGCGGCAGGACTGTGTCGCCCACAGTCAAGGATCCTTGACTGAAGACCTGCGTCTCCTTTGATACTCCTCTGGGCGAAGTTGTCTCGCGGCTATTCCGCATCCTGTTAATCGGCAATCGTCCTCTAATCATCTTGTACCATCTCCTCTGACGTTTCGCGAGGGGACTTCTTGTGTCCAGTGGAAATGCAGTTGGATCTTCCTTCAAGAACACTTCGGTGGTCTCACGGGACCGTTTACCAAGACGAATTTGGCTGCTGCTGGCATCGTTGGATAATTTTGGTGAGGACAATTTCTCGACGATCTCTCGTCGTTGGACTACTTCAGTTGCTTCAATGCTTTTCGGTACTCTCAAACCCAGAACTGAAATTTCGAAAAAAGTTAAAGTTAAAAATTAAAGTTATTGCAAACGTGATATCTTATCTTTCAATCGCTTAAATAATTAATTTGTAAATGATTTTGAAAATTTGACTGACCAGATAAATTTTTTAAGGCGTGCTTCACAGCTTGCGCAACGGATGACAGAAATCCACCATTGTTACTATTTTCGCTGCTTTCTACGGGAGAAGACAACGCAAACTGTCCATTCGCTGTATTGTCCGCAGAATAATTTGCTACAGACTCTACACTCTCGACACTCATCTTCATCGTCGTAATAGATCTTCTACAAATCTTAGTAGATTCAGCCGTATTCAGAGGTGACTGACGATTTGATGCAAGTTGCTTTTGCAATTTCTGTAGACCTGAACTGATCAAAGGCATCAAATCGGTGGTCAATCCTCCTGAGTTGCTCTCCATCAGCACCATCATCAGCACTCTGTTGGAATCTTGTTGATTTATAATTGACCATCCATTGTTTACTTCATTGCTTATATCAGGATTTTGATTCTCCATCTTTATATTTTTCGTGTTATCCTGAACGACCTCGATTTGCGAATTACTTAAAAAATTCTCCGGGGATTGTATTAAAAAACGCGTTGTATCTTCAGCTTGGTTGTCATTTGTGACCTTCGGAGTGTTCGTGTTTTCCATGCTGTTTGTTTGCATTCTGTTATTTGCATCTTTAATGTCTTCTGGTGCAGTAGCACCAGACCTCTTTTGCGTGTCATGAGACTCATTCTCCTCCATCGACATGTTGAGAATAGTCCGCACACAGGACTCCATCAAGTCTCCAAACTCCGCCGCGGTTTCATACCGATCGGAGAACCTTACCTTCTTCATGACATCCTCACAAACATCATCTGACATGGGCGAGATGTGATCCTGATGAGATTGATCCTGCAAGATGCCACCACCCTCGGTCTGCGTCAAGTCCATATCTATAGCAGACAACACTTCATTCGCAGTTATTATCTTAGTATCGTTGTTTGCAACTTTTTCTTGCTCTACTTCCATGATGCTCAGTCTACTGCCTGTATTGTTCCTAGCGAATTGTTCGTTTTTGCAGATCTTAAAAGGTGTCGTCTCTTCGTTTGAACTGTACAGTAGACAACTAAAGAATTGCGTATCGCTCGTCTGCGTCTTCGAGATCGACGCGACCTGTGCGATCGACGACGAATCCGTCTTAGGCGTTTTAAAGCTGAATTCCGGTACGGAGAAGTCGGCCTTTTGACCAAGAAGCATTGGTGTACTGGTCTTGCGATAGATTTCCGGCGGTGTGCAAAATCTGCTGCCGTTACAGTCGCTTTCGCTTATAGAACACTGTTTTGATTTCTTCTCGAGGTGCTCGTGGCTGGATGGCGACGTTAGATAATTCCAGCGTTCAAACCACTTGCACGCACCTAAAGTTTCATTAAAAAATGTGAAATTTAATATAAAAAATACTCAACATTGAATATAAAAAGTCTATTTATAGATTTGAAAAATTTACACGTTATAAATCATTTAGAGAATGTTACAATGAAGAATTTTAATTTATTACTTATATAAACTTTACATTTTAAACTTAAACATTTTAACTTTCTATATTATAATCTTTTTTGTGCTATTTTCGATGCTAAGTAACAAAAAACTTTTAAATAGACTTTAAAATAGAGACAAGACTTTACAAATAAAAATAAAATTTTATAATAGAATCAAAAATATAATATATTTGACGGTCATTTCTTTCTATATATTTCTAACAGACCGTAATGTTTATTGTCTAATAAAAGAATGAAAAAGTTGTATTAAATTCTTTATACGTGATACTGAAGTATCAATAATTAAATATTTTCTGAAGGCAATAATCGCCTATAAATTGATAGAATTTTAATGAAATTTGTCCTTAAAAATTTGACTTTAAAACTCGATCATAGCGGCGTTCCACTTAACGCTCGCAACTCTCGCGAGAATCATTTGTCCTTATTTCATATTTGATAAATAACAAGAAATGATTCCACGCGTTGTGAGCGTTAAATGGAACGCAACCTATGGATGGTTTTTTAATTTTTGCAAGTAACTGTAGACTGTTTGGATCTTATTATAAATTCGTTTCGTAAATTACCAACGGACTTGAAATCTTCTCTGGATTCAAACAAATCACCGCACAGCCGGCAACGTAATGGCAAATGTTTGTCCACTATGTGACACAATAATTTCTCATCCTCTAAGTTCAATTTCGTAGACTCACACTGTCGTATTGGCAATATTTCAGAGGCGCAGAGGGAACAATCGGTGTTCACATTGGGATGCACCTTGTCCACGTGGCGATTGCAACATTTTGTGCAACAAAATATCTTCTTGCAGAACCGACAAGCTGCGTTCGCCTGTCCGAATTGAAAAGTTTTTGAAAATCGATGTGTAGTGCTTTTAGTAAATACTTTGTCTTTCAACATATCGAGATGTAATTGCTAAAACGATCAAATGTTTACTAATGTTCAACGACAAATAGTTTGTCAATATGTTCATAGGATAATAACAATGTAAACGGACATGTGTGAATATATAAATATATATACATATAAAAAATAAAAATAGACGCGAAAATCAGAGTCTATAATTTATAGCATTTATAATAGATTATACGTATTTTTTACAATAGATTTCTATTTTATATATATATTTTTAATTTATAATTACAAATTGAAAGAAAAATTTATGAAAACAATTAAAAATTATATTTGTTTTTTTTTAATTTATAAAAAGAGTTAAATAATTTTTTAGACAAATAAAAAAATAAAGAAATTTTATTGAACAGTACAAATTATGAAATCTGTTTTCGATAGATGTTCGATTTCTGGAAATTAAATTAACAGATCAGAGATTAGTTTATTTTTTAGGATAACAATGTAATAAAAATTTTTATATATTTAATAATTAGCATATATATATAATACGAAGAAATAAATTAATTGTTTCGCAATGCATTCAGTTATTATCCGTATTTTCTTCTTCCTTAGATACAAATTCAAATATTGTGACATATGAATGTGTATGTCTGTTTTCTCTTCAATATTCAATTTTCATTAAATCTAAGTTTTCATTAAATTCGGATCAGTCATTATCTGAAACACTAGAAACACTAGAAGCGCTCAACACTTCAGATGTCTCATCTGTGCATTTGTTTGCTTCGCCATTATTCTCGCTGAAATCGGTGTTGTGATCAGAAGTATCAAGCTGATATAAGTTTTGTAATCCGATGACTATTTCCTCTTCGCTACTTTCATCCTGCATAACTTTCGTTGATATGTTCGGCTCATTGCCAAAGTCATTATTTGCAGAAATCAATTTTATTTCGGATATTAATGATTCATTTTTGCATTCTATCGCCGCTTTGACGTCCAACGCACTCAAGTCGACATCAACGTTGTTTTCATTGGAAGTAGAAGCACTTTTCTCAGCTCTTTTCCTATTCATTAATAATGCTTCCGCGTAAGGCGGTGCTATGGGGGCTTGCACTGGTTCGTGGTACTTGTACTCCTTACCGTCATACTGAGAATATTTACGAACAAGATAAAATGAGATATAATATAAATAAAATATATAAAAAAGAAAACGCAAAAAAATAGCAAGAAATTTTCTTCTATTTTATTTTAACCTATCTAATTCACAGTTAAACGAGAATATATGTCACACTCACATTTAGTGGATAGCTCATATCGGAATCGGGCTGGTTGAGATCTCCACATACAATGAACGGAACGATGGTCCTATTCACTCCTGTCAATTTATCGAAATCCCATGACTCCTCCAGCATCCAAGGATTCAACATATTTGGTTCATAACCTTCTGGCTGACTGTAATCTTTACAGACTACAAACGCCTCAATGCTCGAGTTGCGGGAACTGCTGGGTTTCGTGCAATAGACATAAGGGAAAAATATTCTTAGTTGAGCATACAAAAGCGACACATCCTTGGCACGAAAGATCTTTGCGACAAATGTTCCTCCAGGTCTCAGGATGTATGTAGCTATGTTCAAAGCAGCCAGTAGCAGCTGTGATTGGATAAATATATCCATATCATGTAAACCGGTCACTACGATCAAAATAAAATTTATTAATTATTACAGAAAATTTGTATAGAGCAAGAACAAAAAAGTGACAAGATATGTACCATCAGGTGCTCCATCACACACAACTAAGTCTGCACGAGAGTTATCAAAGTGTGCAATGATCTGTTCTGCTGTACTGCTGTTAGTAATGTCACCTTGTAGTTGAATAACTCCTTCCAAGGGTGCCATTGCTTGTAAATCAACTGCGACAATTTTTGGTTTAGATGCAGGACCATTTTCTAAGGCCTTCTTATAATTCTCTCTGTAAAACAGAAATATACAATTATTTTACAAATTAAGAACAATACTTTCTTATTATAATACAATAGAATAGATTTTATTTAGTACTTGAACTTTGATAAAGTTTACTTACGTTAGCTTGCGAGCTAAGACCTGACTCCAGCTTCCAGGTGCAGCGCACAGATCCACTGCTTTGGATACTCCTGAAAGAGAAAAAATATTTTTTTCATGCAGAAACACTTCTGTCTCACATTTATTATTTATTATTGTTAATTTCACACATTTTTTTTTCGTTATCTAAATCATACATAATCTTAGTTTATATGAAACAGCTAGGAATAAAAAGTGATAATTAAAAAGAAATAAATTTATTAATTGTTATTATACCATCAAAAATATGACACTCCGAATCAATTTGGAGCAGCTTGAAAGCACTCCGGGCTCGCCATCCTTCTTCTTTCGCTTTTCTGTAATATATATCGCGTTTATCCTTCGAAGTCTTCCCCATTTTCTATTAAAATTGAACTTTCTGTTGCACAAAAATATCTGAAATTTTTTAAATAAATTTAAAGCGCTTCGAGAATGCAAAATCTTCTCTTCTTTATCTTACGACGCTTAATCATAGAAAAAAGCATGATGCAAGTGCATCATGAATGATGCACTTGTCTTATGGAGAAAAGTAGAGATCCTCCTAAAGGAGTCTTTTCATGCCGACGCTCGACGCTCATTTTTTGACGTCAAAATAAGTCATGTGATATAAATTGACGAATATCAAACGTCAGTTTTGATCACGTAACCTATTTTGACGCTGAAAATGAATGTCGTAGCGTTAGATGAAAACCAAGCCTTAATGAGAGACACAACATAAGAAAGTCGCGCGTTGATTCGTCCGCCATGTTTCAGGAATACACGCCATGCATTTGCATACCTATATTTATGTTGCTTTTAAATTTCAACAATATAATTAAAATTAAATATTTTAAAAATATTAGCAAATTAATTTTTTTTATTACGTGTCAAAATAAAACACCTAGTAAATTTACTAGGTAAAAATTACAAAAGTGAGTAAATTTACTAGGTATTAACCAATGAAATAATCAGTATTCTAGTAAATTCGTTCACTTTTATAATTTTCACCTCATTTTAAAGGAATCGATTCTGTATCTCGTTAATAAAATTATCAGTATTCTAATAAATTCGTTCACTTTTGTAATTTTCACCTCGTTTTAAGATACAGAATCGATCTCCAGAATCGATCCCCAGGTCTCCAGGGTCTCTAGAGAAAAGGTCATCTAGGCTGTGGTGGACGGTCACGCACTTTAAGCGCTTGTAATTCTGTCTTTATCGTTTTATTAGAAAATAAAATAAGAATAGAAGTATTGAAGAGCGCTGAAAGCATCCAAATCAACCGTAGCCCTAGCAAAGTGACGGCTAACTCGTATTTGAATTTTAGTTTTTCTAAATGACTATAGATGATGCATCAAGCGGAAAAAAACCATTTTGTGAACCGCGCCATCTCGCTTTCCGTGTTTCCCTCTTTACTTTTGTGATTCCTCAGTCGTCAGTCGTACGATCCTACAATGTTCATCAATATCTAGAAAAAGCAGGACAAACCAAACAAGTAGAGGGGAACGCACCTGTATATGTTAGTTGAGGATTATTGTGAATCAAAACTCAAGAATAGATCACGAAAGGAAGAAGAGAAAGTAGCAACGTGACAAAGGAGGAAACGTGTTCATACGAAGCAGCGACGAGCGACGAACTAATAGACGTTTACTTCTGAATCGACGTTTTATTCTCTGCGATCAAAAAGGTATTCAATTTTCCGATATGATTATGTACGACTAACAGACAAAGCAAACTAGCAAAACAAGGATGTCTCATTTAAGACATATAATGAAACGGGAGTTTCGAGAATAACAAATGATAAAATGGCGAATTATGATTGTGCAAAGAGGGCTAGGTTAACGACGTTGTTGTAATCCTTTCGCTTTGTGCGCAGGAAAAATTCTTGAGGGAAATACTTTTCCAATCATTAGAAGTCATTAGAAAAATGAAATTGGGATTATTTTTACAGGAGTCGTTTTTTGCATGCATTGCAAAATGTCAGATTTAGATATACTATAAAATCCAGTTTCTATTAAATCACACGTCACGATGCTAGAAGTTTTTTTTTGAGATCTTGAAAAATTGACAAATCACATTTAAACAATTCGGCCACTTGACCAATGCAATTGTTTAATTTTTTTTCTATCCAAAATCTCTGAGTAACTTGTAGCATTGTGGATACAAGGCTTATGATGGCTGTTTTTTTTGTTTTTAGAAAGCACAGTTGACTCAAATGTTATTTTTTGTTATTTATTGAGGATATAATAATTGTGTCAACTGTGTCCTATACAAGGAAAGCAGTCGATGTTAGTAGTTGTTTATCTGAACTTTTCTTATTTTCTTTTCTTATACATAGAACTTTAAAATATTGTCAACGTACAAAATAATCTTCCATTTGAATTTTGCTTATTTAAGTTATTATTAATTGCTTTGCCAAAAACTTAGAGAAACAAATAAGATTTAGCGTATTACTTTCAGTTTATGAAAGAATCTTTAAAAGTATTATAAAGCCCTGTTTCAAAATATTACTTTGTTTGATCTATAATCAAATCTGTTTTTGTATAGATGCCTAACATAAAACTACAAAGCTCTGATGGCGAGGTATTCGAAGTCGATGTTGAGATAGCAAAGTGTTCAGTCACCATCAAGACTATGCTGGAAGATCTTGGTATGGATGAAGATGAGGAAGAGGTTGTTCCATTGCCAAATGTAAATTCTGCAATACTAAGGAAGGTCATACAATGGGCTACATATCACAAGGATGACCCACCACCACCAGAAGATGATGAGAACAAAGAAAAGCGTACTGATGACATTAGCTCTTGGGATGCAGATTTCTTGAAAGTGAATATCTGC